GACAAAGTCCTGGAATTTCCTCCCTGACAACACTGTGGGTGTACCGATGCCACATAGACTGCAGAGATTCAAAATGCCAAGTCACCACCACCTTCTCGAGGTCAAACAGTTGGGCAATAAATGCTAGGCTCAGTCAGCGACTCCTGTGTTCTGTGAATAATTTTAGCTATGTTCCCCTGTTACATTAAAATTCAATGAAAATTTTAGGTTACTGAAAGAAAATTATACTGATGTAATTCCATTTTTCAATGATGCACAGTTTTGTTCTCATTTTTAAATCCATTATTCAATAAGTATTCACAGAAAAAAAACTCAACACATAATCAAAATTTTATTTGATACTATTCATTTAGAAAATGTCCTCAGAATCACTGGATCCCTACAGTGCATGTAGAGGCAATTAAGCCCATCAAGTCTGCACCAACACTCCAAAGAGCATCCATCTAGGCACACCCCTCCACCCTATCCCCGTAACCCTGCATATATCATGGCTAATCTACCTTACCTGCACATCTCTGAACAGTACAGGACAATTTAGCTTGGCCAATCCATTTAACCTGCACATCTTTGGACTGTGGGAGGAAACCAGAGTTACAGTACACAGACACAGAGAGAACATGCAAACTCCACACAGTCACCCAATCAAAATTGTATTTGTTATTATTCATTTTGAAAATGTCCTTGTTAAAGGGCAATCATAGTTGTTTATTTTGTTTTAATTTGTCCTGCTCCATTTGCTACATAATGAAGTCCATTTATCTTTTAATTCCAATTAGGCTGTTTGGAGTCATTAAAAGAATCTTTTGAACAGAAGAAATTGAATGGAATAAGTGTCTAATTAAAATTTCGTATACAGGTCACTTCATTGTTCTGCTATCTCTGAATAAAGCATATTTAAAATTAAAATGAAAAACCAATGACCTCCAGTACTAATTTATTATACACATGGTCAAACTTTGCAAGAATTTTTTGTGGAAAGGGAGGAACACAGTGATTTTCAAATAACTGTGGAGCTAAAGTGGATTGCAGTGCATGATTAATCCATGACCTCAATGATTGCAGTGCAGGTGCACCAAGTTCAATGGTGCCTATGACTATCTGTGATTTTTATGTCCACCCATTGCTAACCTTGCTGTTGATTGTCTGAATATGTCAGAAGGAGGGCAATATTCCAGGTGACCAGAAACACTTAAAGCTTGTTGGTGGTGCTTAAAATTGCCTTGCAGCTTTTAAAGGGAAAGTGCAGTTTGGCTGGAGCAGATACTGGGAGTCTGATGGCATAGAATCTGACGTGAGAAAGAGAAAATTTGCACAAAGTGACATAAAGTAGGTTCCAAAATTTTCAGGTGTTGCACTGAAGGTTGTGGTGAAGGATCTGGAAAGGAGCAAAGATGTCCTGAATCTGCATGGAGTAGGCCGTCCATACATAAGCTTAAATGCCATTCAGAGCAAATAACCAGACGTCAAGAACCAGAATGCAGTAGCACAAGTGATTCAATGACCTCAAAAGTGCAGTCAAGGTCAGTGGATGTACCATCAAATATCCTGTGAATTGTACTACAAGCCTCAGAAACTGCTCAATTCACCACAACTGCATCACTCACCTCCAAACAATCTCTACCAATCAGGCTTCATATCTAATACTTGCGTGGTTCATCTCAATTTCAAATATTTAACATTGCTGCAAGCCTCACATGTACAGCTCACAGGCTGCACACCCTGTCAGCTATTTATCCATGATGGTCACAGAGGTTGCACGACACTCGGTGTTACACTTTCTGCTCTTTCTTGCAAGATAAGATAATGCACAACCAGATGCAGCAAGAAATAATCAGAGCGGGCATGAGTGTATCAGGAAGTTTGATGGAGGAGACAGTGCAGGACATTTTTGGGATGATTATTGCCGAGAATTTGAGGTGATAGGCTGAAACCAAAGATGGTGACAGTATTCCCAAATCGAATTCTCATCCTTGCATCCCACCTCCTTTTTTATCCTAAATTCTTTGTTGATTTGCAAACTGCAGATGATTTAAAAATTCCCACACTTCCTATCTCTAGTCCTGATATGACAACCTTAACCTTTCAGGTCCTCAACTGGTACAACTTCGCCAGCTAATAGAGTGAGACTAAGGAAAGAGTAAGAACAAAGTCACAACATCAGCCCTTAATTTCACATTCACAGTAGAGGCAAAGTCTGCATATAATGAGACATAGGGCAAAAGTGCATTGCAGCCAGGGCCGAGGAATAAGGATAGAGGAGGTGCCATCTTGATGGAGAATCAGATTACACATAGGTTCCGCTGCGCAGGGTTCAGATGAGCACTTTGTTGAGGAATGATGCAGAATAATGTTGATGCCCATGTTTATTGTTTAATCTGTGAACTATAAGTTGTGAAAAGATACTGTTTTAAATCCAAAGAAACTGTGCAAGAACATGTTGCAGTTTTCAGAAACAGGATTCTGAAACTTGTTGCGAGTTGTATCTGCAAGATCGCTTTATTTAAGCAGTGGTGGTGAGAGAGCAGAGGGTGCTAGACACCTTGGCTCCATGTGTGTGTTCAATGCAGTTTTGCAGAAAAGACAGTGCTTTGATTTTTTTTCAATTGACAAGTTGTGGGTGTGGGAGGGTTCAGAATAATACCAACCTCTTGATTAGTTCCTGGGTAGGTGACTACAACCTTGGGTGTGAACAACACAGGAAAAATATCTAGTCTGCTATCTCTGAATCTGCAAAAAGCATCTGAATTTCTCTCTGTTCCCCCTGTGTTGACAAGTATCAGAAAATCTCCTAGTAGCTTTTCTCACTCACTGTAAATGGACTCTCTCTGTGCAAAATTCCATTGTTGAAAGGAAAAGGCGAGCTGACCTTCAGAGACTGAAAATCAGTGTATTCTTAATGCTGTGTCCTCATCAAAGAGCAGAAAGGAATCAAAAGGAACCGAAGGAAAACAACTCATTGTTGCCTGTCATCTGGACTGGTGCTAGAACTGTGATTCACTTGACTCTTTTGTTCCTTCCTCACCCATAATATTATAACTTGTCTTGTCCCTTTCTGTGTCTGTTAGTTCAGTGTATATTTTTTAAAAGGCATGGAGTTTAAGGTATAGAGTTATAACTTAGCAATTCATGTTTTGACTCTTACCATTGATTGGAAATCATTTGATTACAATTAATAGTGATTTTCTTGTTAATGATGCAAACATAGTATGCATTCTTTTAACCTGAGTTAGACCGTAAAGTAAAATTGGCCGATGCATTTGTTTTATCAAATTTTCAAATTTGTGATGACTCCAGGAATACTGTGACTTGATTTCCAGTGCACTACCCCAGTGAGCCTTGACAATTTATCCAATGAAATTCCTTGGTGTTTGGAAAGTCCGCTTGTAATGCCAAGAAATGTGGAGAACCATACCACTGACTTGGCTCAGGGCTTTACATAGAGCTTAGCACTGGAAATACTATCATTGCCCTGCTCTGAGGTTTCAGTTGTGGCTGTAATAAATGGCAGATTTCAAGAAGAATTAAGGCATAGACATGTTAGACAAGAAGGGAACTTTCCCATTAGTGGAAGGATCAATAGCTAGAGGTCATAGACTTAAGCTAAGGGGCAAGTTGTTTAAATGGGATGTGCGGATTTTATTTTCTGACAGGCTGGTGGGATTCTGGAACTCACTGCCTGCAGGGATGATAGAGGCAGAAACCCTCATAATATTTAAATATTTAAATGTGCATTTGTGATGCCAAGGCATACAAGCTATGGGCCAAGTCACAGACTCGTAGAATCGTAGAGCTGTACAACATGGAAACGGACCCTTCAGTCCAACTCATCCATGCTGATCCAGATATCCTAAATTAATCTAGTCCCATTTGCCAGTATTTGGCTCATATCCCTCTAAACCCTTCCTATTCATATACCCATTCAGATGCCTTTTAAATGTTGTAATTGTAGCAGCCTCCACCACTTCCTTTGGCAGCTCATTCCATTCATGCATCACCTTCTGCTGAAAATGTTGCCCCTTAGGTCCATCTTAAAAATCTTTCCCATCTCACCTTAAACCTATGCCCTCTAGTTTTGGCATCCACTACCTTAGGGAAAAGCCCTTGGCTATTCCACCCTATCTATGTCCCTCATGATTTTAAAAACTTCTATAATGTCACCCCTCGGCCTCTGACATTCCATGGAAAATAGCCCCAGCCTATTCAGCCTCTCTCTATAGCTCAAACCCTCCAACACTGGCAACATCCTTAAGGTAAATCTTTTCAAGTTTCATAAAATCCTTCCTATAGCACGGAGACCAGAATTGAATGCAATTTTCCAAAAGTGGCCTAACCGATGTCCTGTACAGCCACAACATGACCTCCCAATTCCTATACTGAATGCACTGACCAATAACAGCAAGCATACCAAACACCTTCTTCACTATCCTGTCTACCTGCAACTCTACTTTAAAGGAACTATGAACCTGCAGTCCAAGTCTTGATGAAGGGTCCTGACCTGAAACATCGACTTTCCTGCTCCTCCAATGCTGCCTGACCTGCTGTGTTCCTCCAGCTCCACACTGTATCAATTCCAAGGTCTCTTTGTTCAGCAACACTCCCCAGAACCTTACCGACAAATGTATAAGTGCTGAAAAATGGGATGGTAATAGTCAGGTGGCTGTCCTTGACTAGCACAGATCTGATGGACCAAAAGGCCTTTTTTTTTTAATTCACTCATGGGATAAGGATGTCACTGGCCAGGCAGCATTTATTGTCCATCCCTAATTGCCTGCAGAGCAGTTAAGAATCAGCCACATTGCTGTGAGTCTGGAGTCACTTGCAGGCCAGACCAGGTAAGGATGGCAATTTCCTTCCCTAAAGGACATTTTTCCGTGCTGTAGATCTCTACGATTCTATCTTATTGTTCATCATTGAGAATAGGAAAAAGAATTGTTTCCTGAATGCCCACACAGAGCATGACCTTTTGTTGAGAGCTCTTTTTCCTCTTCTTTGTCTTCCAGATCTTGCCCTTTTCTGGGTGACCCTGGTTCCTTCCCACAGCCATTCCATAGGAAATGTCTATGGATGTAGCATTTTGTGCGAGCAATTGGTTTGTACAGAAGTCTGAAATCAGCAAAACATCCTGCAGCACTTGCAACACTGCTATAAGTCAACTCTTGCAAATGGTAAAAATAAGAAACAACCAAACACATGCAGAATCTTAGCAAAAACCACAAGAAAACAATCAGCATTGAACTTACAAGTTATAATGTTTTCCTGAAATAGTGCTGGAGGTGGGGGTGAGGTAGAGATGTCCATCCGGCTTCTAAATATGTGCTCAACTGTGCAAAGTTAATAAAAGGTGTTATCTGGAATGTTGAATATCTTATCAATTTTGTAGGCTGATTTGTCCTCTCTGCATATTCCACATGGGCATTCACACTGACATCTGAGTCAATATTGTATCAGTGCGCTTTACCCCACAAGTATGTAAGTTTTGCAAGTAAAGATTGCCTCAAAAATGGGTTCAAATGAATCCAATTCCTTGGCTGTGGTGATTTGTGGTTATGCTTATTGAGTGTCATGTGCTGAAAAGGTGGATGCATATGTACAGGGTTGGTTAGCTTAATTTGCTGAATGGCTATTTGCAATGCAGAGTGACACCATGGGTTCTAATTCCCACACTCGCTGAGGTCACTATGAAAGACTCTCTTTCTCAACCTCTTTCTTCACCTGAGGTGCAATAATCTTCAAGTTAAACCACCACCAGTCATATCTCTAGGACTACAGCAACTTTACCTTTGCATATAACATGACACTTTTGCTTTAGATCAATAACAAACTGAGAGTGGGGACTACACAGAAGGCAAAGGCAGTGCCTAAAATTTCAAAGATTTCTGTTAAGTTTTTTTTATGTTATTGTTTGAACGTGCATTGATTAGTTGCTGATTGGGACATGAAATTAAATTCTTATTCACTATTATTCTGTACCTTTTGGCGAAGTTCAAATGCACGCATCACTGAACATTTGAATGACATTTAAAATTCTATTCATTAAACATATCTGCAATAACAGCTGCACATCTACTATCTCGTTGGATCAGAATATCAAAGATTTGTAAAATAACATGTTCTATCTTGCAGCACCTCCAAACCACAAGGGCATTGCATTGATAGGATCATTATATTTGTGCTGCTGTTATTGTTGAGGTCAGAGAACAGAGCCTATCCTGAATTTTATGATTTCCTTTCACTGCCTGATTGCAGCTCAAAAGGCTAAATTTAGAAAAAAAGCAATTTCCAGGTTAGAAGGAAAATAGCAATCCTCCAATCTGCTTCGCAATCCACACAGCACTGAGACAATAGTAATCAAGATTTTAAGCAATTTTGTCTATTACTGTTCATCCTATTACACAGTTAATGTGAGATTTTCTCCCAATATCTGTCCTCTGCATGTCTCTCTGTCAGTTTGCACATGCTGTTTCTCTTTTGTTCCACTCGTAACAATTGCAATGTAGGTACTCGATGGCCTCCAATGAGTCCAACGTTCTTTGTGATGTAGTCACCGTCAAATCTTTAGCCTCCTCTTCACTACCTGTCTATTGTCTGTTGGTGGCAGCATCTGGAAGAATGGGACTAGCTTTCACGTGTATACTAACAATACCCAATTTCATATTTCTATTTTACAATTACCTATCAAAAATAATAGCAATACATACAGCTAATTTATTGAATAGAATCATAGAATGGAAAAATTACAACTTGTAGGGAGGCCAGTCCACTCTCTGTAAGAACAGCTCAGCTAGTTCCATTCCCTTGCTCTTTCCCTGTAGTCCTGCCGAAATTTTAAAAAAGTTAATCATTCAATTCCCTTTTAAAAGCCAGATTTAAATTTGCCTCCACCAAGCTTGCGCATAGCTGATTCCAGACCCTAAATACATGCTGTGAAAAGAAGATTTTCCTCGTATTAACCTTTGCTTTTATTTGCTAATTGTTAAGTCAGAGTCTGCTGGTTCATGACTCATTGAAAAGGTACAGTTTCATCCTATCTACTCTGTTCAGACCCCTCATGATTTTGAATGCCACTCTCAAATCTTCTTTCAAAGTTCTCGGGGAGAACAGCCCTATCGTCTCTAATAAGTTCACATAGCTGAAGTCCCTCATCACTGGATTTGTCCTCATAATTTTTTCTTCAATCTCTTTAATGCCTTCACATCCTTCCTACTATAATGCGGGTGTCTTCACATCATTCAGGCAAAATGAAAACGGAAAGAAATGAGGATGCTGTAAATCAGGAACAAAAACAAAGTTGCTGGAAAAGCACAGCAGGTCTGGCAGCATCTGTGAAGGAAAAAACAGAGTTAATGTTTCGGGTCCAGTGACCCTTCCTCCGGCAAAATACTTCAGTTATGACCATACCAATGTTGCATCAATGTTAACAACAAATTTCTTGCTTTTGTACTGCATATCTTTGTTAATAAAGTCTATGAAAAGCAAAGCAATCTCCTTTGCCTCCATTCAAATCTTAAGCCCCTTTGGCCTTAACACTATTGATCCCACTGATTACCACCTCAATAATAGTGGCAAAACTTGGCATATTGTTCAATGTTGAGCTCCGATTTCTTTCGCATTTCTGCTTACTAATAAGTCTGTTTTCATTTACTTCTTCAACATTGTTTGCCTCCACCCTTCACATCCTCAATTCTTGAAACTGGCCCCAATACCTTCCTCATTTCAAATTTTGACGTCCCCAATTCTCTCCCAGGTGGCTTCCCTCCTCAACACTCTGCATGGATGTGTTTATCCAAAAAACCATATCACACAGTTCTGCACTGCCTTCATTGTGCTCTTCTTCAATTTCTATCAAGTTGCCTTTAAAAAATGTCTTCACATTTAAGTCCATTAATAGCCTTACCTCATTCATGTTTAATGATCTTTTGCTGCCTTTCATTATTGTGCACATCTTTTATTCCTCAACACTAGTTTTCTGCTTGTCATTCATTTCTGCTCCACCACTGAAAACTGTTCATTGAACACTTTTGCTCCCCAATGCCACTAGCTCAAATTTGTCTGCTTCCAAAATCTTAGTCAAAGCCTTTCTCTTAAACTCTGCCTTCACTTCCTCTCTGAAATGTTCTATCTTTTATACCTTTGCTTCACAACCACTATTTTAGCCTAGAAGTGTAAAATGACTCAAAACGTTTTCCTCAACATAAGTTTCAATCTAATCTAAGTATCAGTAATGCGTGGAATATAAATGGTAAGACAAGTGAAAACACATGGCTGCATAAGTAAAAAGGAATCATTGAAATTGCAGTGCAATTGGTGTGAAGAACTCTGTAGAACTGCCAGTCAATAATGATTAACATGATGAAAAACTAATGAAGGCCAAAAATTGAAATGAAACATGGTACTGGAATGAAAAGTCTTTCTTCAACCAGTGTCTGGGATACCATAATTTGTAAATGCCTATAAAAGTTCATCTTTTTTCTTTCTGATATCCTTAGTACACTAATTAAGAATTCCCATTAAAATTTTGATGATGCTTTATATTAACATTGAGTTTAACTCACTGAGACTCCTGACTGATCTGAATAACAAGTGAACCTTCCAAGAGATAAAGCTGAATGCAATAAAATGTCTGCATCTACCCTATAACTATAAAAGCTGACAAACAGACAATATTTTGTTGCAAATTTTAGGAAATAAGATTTGTATGTCTGACTGACATGGCATGCAAGTGATGTGTCACACCTTTCACCATGATTAGCACCACATGTTCATGAAAAAAATTGAAAAAGTTTATGGTGTTCCAAAACAAAATCAACATGACAAAGCTTATTATCACCAGAGATTTTTGGATTAGGTGGTCAAACTTCCAAGAAACAGTGTTGTAATTGCTGTACAAAATTGAAAAAGAAGAAAAAAAAATCAAGATATACATTTATGTTGCATTTTTTCATGACCAGGAGATGATTCAAATGTACTTCCTGCCAGGAAAGTACAGTTTGAAGTCTAGACTAGACTACCGTAATGTAGAAAATGAGGCAGCAACATTTCAAAGCAGCAAAGCATTGTGATACCAATCATATTATCTGTGTTTGTTTGAGGGGGAATATTGGCCTGAAGACAGGAGATAATTCCACTGGTCAAAATAGTGCCATGAGATCTTTTACATTAACCCAAGACAGAAGAGGCCTCAGTTAATATATCATCTGAAAAGTGCCACCTTCAACAATGCAGCACTCCTTCAGTACTGCTTCAGAGTATCAACCTTGATTTTTGAACTGAAGCCCTGGAGAGACTTGAACTCAGAACCTTGTCACTGAGAGCAACAGGTGAAGCTCACAGATCTGTCATTTTCTGCCTCAAGCCAGAAAGTCCACCATTGTCCTGATGTCTACAGGTAAGCAATCTCAGAACAGAATACTGTGCATTTTTTTACATTCTTTCACTCATTTTGATTTCAGTTGTTCTATCACTTGGTTAGCAGACTTTCTGTTGTTTCCAAATATCCACTCCCCTTAAAATAATTTCTCTGAATAGATTTACATTCATAAAAGATGGACTAATGACAGCAAATGATAACATGTAATTTTCTTGCACAGATAAATCAGTTCACAGAGGCAGCTTTGTTTTCCTTGCTCATTATTGATTTTTAAGTTTTCTTGTTCCAGTGAATGCTATTTAAAAAAAGTTGCCAAGTTATTGCTGCTTCGTAATTTTAATTTAAGTCAACTCAAATAAATAATCTGCTTAAGAAGTTGAAGTAATATTCACACTACTTAAATGCCAGGAAATGACTATCTCCAAAAAGAGAGTCTAACCACCTCCCTTTGACATTCAATTCAGCATTACCATTGCTGAATCTTTCACTGCTAACATCCTGGGAGTTGTTATTGACAAGAAACTTAACCGAACACTAATACCGTGGTGACAACAACAGGTGAGAGAGTAGGTTTCCTGCCGTGAGTAATTCATCTGTTGAATCTTCAGTGTCTTTCAACCACACAAGAGTTCATGAGAGAGCATTGGCAGATAGAATAAAAGAAAACCCAAAACGGTTTTTTTTAAATATATAAAAAGCAAGAGAATAACTAGAGAAAGAGTAGGGCCTATTAGAGACCATAAATGTAATCTGTGTGTGGAACCAGAAGTGGTGGCACAGTCCCAATGAATACTTGGCATCGGTCTTCATGATGGAATAGGATTATGCAAGTACACATATCAGAGTGGAGAACACAATTATAGACATCAGGGAGGAGGACTGTGAAATACTAGAATAAATTAACATATAGAGTTGGTACAAGCAGATTTAGCAGTCTCAAAAGTGGATAAATCCACAGGCCTGAATCCGGTATATCCCAAGTTGTTGAGGTAGGCAAGGGAGGAGATATCAGGCAATAATTCCTGTATCCTGTCTGGACACTAATGAGGCACTAGTGGACTGGAGGATGGCAAAGTTGAGAAAATTTTTCATTTCGAGGGTGTTTGGAGTCTGGAATTCACTGCCTGAAGGGGTTGTTAAGTCATAAATTCTGGAAATATTTTAGCAGTATTCATTTAATTACCATAGCTTGCAGGTCTATGAGCCAGAAGCTGAAAAATAAGATTAACGTAATAAGAGGTTTGTTGTCTGATGTGAGCATGATGGTCCAAATAACCACCTTCTGTGCTGTAAATGTCTATGATTCATCTAAAAGCTACAAGTCAAAAGTGTAATGGAATACTCTCCACTTGCCTGGATTAGTGGCAATTCAATGACACTAAACATGTTGACACCATCCATCTTAATTGGAACCCTAACTGTTTCCTTAAAGATGCACCTCTTCTACAACTGGCACATTATGGCTGCAATTTATATCATCTACAAGATATATGGTAGCAACTTGCCAAAGATTATTTGGTAGTGCCTCCTGAACAGATGACTACCACCACATTGAAGGCCACCAGATCATACATCATCTTGATTTATAAACATGTCACTGTTCCTCGATCTTTGTTGGATCATAACTATGTAATGCCTTCCCTAATAACACTGTGGGTATGCCTCCACTGCACACAATGCACCAATTCAGCACATGCTTTAGTAATTAGGGGTGAGCAATAAATGCTGTCCTCGTGAACAATGCTCATACCTCAGGAGTGATTTACTTTTCAAAAAAACTCTAAAAGATCTATGTTAGTTATTGCATTCATCTTTTGTACTATTAATTTGACTTATTAAAAGGACTGTATTTGTTATTGTATTCATCTTTTGTACTATTAATCTGGCTTATTAAAAGAACTGTATTTGTTATTGTATTCACCTTTTTTAGTATGAACTTAACTTGCTTATTTAATATTTGCTATTTATGGTGAATTTCTGCTGGATAGAATAGTTTCCACTGTTTGGAAAAAGAGAGATCTTTGGATTACATTTGGAAATTATAGCATCAAGAAGAAACAGAATGTAGAACTCACAGGAAGTATTTGACGTTTTTGGAGAGAAAAGTTGGATTGCCTTAATTAAACCTTCTTTGCCAGAGCAGCAAGTGCAGGCCTTTCATAATCTTTTTCATTCCTCTTTAATGATGGTATCTTACTGATCCTGTAACCTGTTTCTTACTCAATAATCCCCTCATTCCTCAAATTTCAACTGTTAAGACACTAAGACTTAATTGGAATAAATGCGTTCTCAGTGAAAATAAGCACCAGATAAAGTAACAAGAGAAACACTTACTGACTTGGAGATCATTGCATGAAGGTTAAATACATGAAACTCATTGTAAATGTGGAAAGTTTCACTAGATGGACAAATTCTGTGTAATAAAGAAGAAAACAAATAGAAAATCTCATACAATTCTGGGATTATAAAGTAAATATATAAAGGATAAAATATTATTTGTCTTCTCATAATTTAATTAGTAGTCTAATGATACATGTTAACTCAAAAAGGAGACTTATTTGTTGCCTGAATAGCAAGCAAAGAATATATTTTGGAAAAATAATTTAACCATACTCAATTTAAAGCTTTGCATTTTTATTTCAAGGCATAATGTTTCTTATGAAAATACAGTAATTGTCTGAGATTTCTATGGAAATAGCATGGACAAATCGGAAAACCCGATGCATCATATTCTGATTGTCTTATGACATATGTTTCGTGTCTGCATCTATGTTGGCTTACAAACAGTTTCCTGATTTTTCTGAAAAAACCTAACTCTTCTCAAAGCCCCATATTTGTTATTTTAATTATCTGGCTCATTGGGAAGGTAAAGTAAAGACTACTTGCCATTGGACAATAGTTAATGGTAGCATAACTACTGCCACTTGCCACCCTCTTTTGTACAAATATTAATGCTTGCTGTTGTACAACTTGACAATTTTTTTTCCCCGCTAGATTCGATCTTATTTGGCCTATCTATAAACATTCCAGGTAAAAAAAATCAGAAGGAATTTTAACCAGAAAAAGTAGTGAAAGATCCTCAATTTGAAGAAAAATTCCAATACCGTGCCCTTGCTAACATTCGTTGCTGCTTTAAAATAAGAGCATGACATCCTTAACATACAGCATAAGATAGAGTATAGAAATTGCTAAGTACAGCTATTTAGTGCATTGCTATGGTATGTTCCCAGCTTTCTTTCATCTGACAGGATGCTGCATATTCTCTTGCATTTTTCTTCTTTTTCCTAATGAGCTGTGATCATTCATTGTTTATAGCATCATTTAAGAATTTTTGACCCATGTTCTTAAGTTTATTTTATGCATATACAGTTGCTTTGCTGTAAGTTCTGTTTTCATACAGTTTTAATTTATTTCAGCTAATGACCACATTGTCTGTGATTTGGATTGGTTTAGTTAGCTCTGTTATTTGCTGTCACTGTGAATTCGGAGGTTGTTTTCAGTTGAATCGTTGATTGGTGGCAGAATGGTTGCTAGGGCAATGTTTGCTATACAGTGCACAGTATTCAGCCACATCTGGATAAAGAGAAACAGCTGCTAGAAAGTGAGCATAATTCTTGGTCAGTGTAAGGAATCAGGCCCATTCAAAAATTGACAGCATGTATATCATACCTGAATCCAATTGAAAGAAATTCTCTACTCAATTTGGAATTCTTTTGAACTTGGGTTAGAGTGAAGAATTATTGAGAAGTCGCTATAAATGTATAATTCAAAAGGTAAACATTATGGTAACTATATGTAATATTTTTCTACGTTGAGATTCAAAATCTCAACAAATTCTTGAATCCAATGAGTGCAGTTCTGTCCACAGTTCTGCAAGGGAGGGCACCAAATCGGACAGGGGAGACACTGATCATATGCCCGCAGGAGAAGCGAGGGCAGGCGGGACTCAGATAGCAGCTCATTGGGTTGAGTAATTCACGAAGCTTTCATGGCTCTGACAGGTACACAACTGCTGTGTCATGTACTGCCTCATAGTATTTCTTCTATTGTGTTAGATGTACTTTCACATTTAAGCTGAACTTAACAGTGCCTTTTTTTAGGGGCATCCTTTCATTTTTGATGTTCATGTTCATTTTTTCTCCAGTGCTCCCTCTGCTGCCAGAAACTTTCAATAGAACCAATAAAATGAAGCTAAAAAACCCCACTTTTTTTTTGTTGAATCTGGCCTGCATCCCCTAATCCTATTTATTCCCCTGGCATGATTAAAAAAAAATCCTTTTATGTGATGTGGGTATTACTGGCCCTGATTGCTGTTGATGTGGTGGTGGTGAACTGTTTTCTAAAATGCTGCAGCCCAGGGCTTGCGGGTAAAGCCAGGACGCTGTTAGGAACCCTCCCTCCTTCTCATCCCCGCCACCTTGACCTGACACAGTCTGTCCATCTTCTCTCCTACCTATCCGCCCCTCCTACCCCACTGACCGACCCCCACCACTCCCTACCTGTGCTCACCTATCACCATCCCACCTACCTTCCCAAGCCCCACTACTCTCTCTGTTTCTGAGCTCTCTTCCCCCTCCTCCATTTCTGAAGAAGAGTCCCAACCCGAAACGTCAACTTTCCTGCTCCTCCGATGCTGCCTGGCCTGCTGTGTTCCTCCAGCTCCAGACTGGGTTATCTCTGACTCCAGCATAAGCAGTTCTTACTATCTGTGCTGTTAGGAAGGGTGTTGCAGGATTTTGACTCGGCAACAGTAAAGGAATAGCAACATTTTCCAAGTCAGTCTCATCTATGACTTGGAAGGGAACTTGCAGGTGGTAGTGTTCTCATACGACTGCTTTCCTTATCTAGATCATAATAGGTTGTGCATTTCGAAGGTGTTATTGTAGAAAATTTGATGAGTTTGCTACAGTGCATTTTGTATGTAGTGGATACTCCTGCCACTGTATATCTGTGGTGGAGTCAATGTTTAGGTTCGTGGAGGAGGTGCTAATCATGTGAGCTGATTTGTCCTGGATGCTGTTGAGTTTCCCAAGTGTTGTTGAAGCTGCACCTATCCAGGCAAGTGGGGAATATCTCATCACATTCCTGACTTGTACCTTGTAAGTGGTGGAGAGGCTTTGGGGAGTCAAAAGGTGTGTT